CCAACAGTCAAATCTACCTTAAACACTAGATAAACGCATGTAGCCATAGGCTTGACACACTTCCTTACTTTCGATTCTATTTTAGTTAACAAAAAACTATGGGTTAAAGCCAACTATAATCCCTCTACTTTCAATTTTCGTTCATTATTCTCCCTGTACTTACAAATAGTTCAAATTTTTCCCTCTACTTTAACTTTCCATTACATTACCTCCCTCCCCTAACACCAGCCTAACACCTTTATAACTCCCATTTAACAGTGACATCTTTGACCGTTAAGTGCGATAGCTTAGCCTCTTTTTTTTTTTTTTTTTTTTTTTTTTTTTTTGTGAATTGTGTTTTTGGGATCGCTGCTTGTGCGTTACCGTGTCATTGCCATGGTCAGAACAAACTTTTAATCTTTTGATATGCTACTTCTATCCTTAACAATAAACCTTTTTTGAAAATTTATTCTGGGACATTGAGAAATAATTATCAATTAGAGTTATGATTTTTTCAAGATGTATTTAAAATACTTTTTCTGATCTAGCTAGATATTATACTCGTCAGGTAATAAAAGTTAGAAACACGTGCATAATAACTTACAGGTGTTGGAGCTAGGAATCATTGTTCATTCTGTGGTGATTGGACTCTCCCTTGGTGCTCCAACAATACATGCAGCATTAAAGGTCTGGTGGCTGCACTCTCTTTCCACCAAATGTTCGAAGGAATGGGTCTTGGTGTGGCAGCATTCTTCAGGTCCATGTCTAAACAATTATTCCAATATTACCATCAAATTAATCGATATAAACTTAAATTCTTTAAATGTTCTACAATTTCGTACTAACTGTTATTTCATCTAACAATTTAAGATGAATTTAACTTCATTATTTGAAATTTATAGGCAGAGTACGAAATGTTTAAGAGAATTGTGATGGCATTCTTCTTTTCCGTGACTACTCCATTTGGCATTGCACTTGGAATTGCGCTGTCCAAAACGTATAAAGAAAACAGCCCGACGGCTCTGATCACGGAGGGGCTGCTGAACGCGTCGTCGGCCGGGCTGTTGATCTACATGGCTCTCGTTGATCTTCTGACGACGGATTTCATGGGTCAAAAGTTGCAGGGTAACATTAAGCTCCAGATTAAATGCTATTTAGCTGTTTTTTTGGGTGCTGGTGGCATGTCTCTCATGGCAAAATGGGCTTGAAGAGAGTTGAGATCATCATTTCATGATGTTCTTTAAACCACTACTATGGTTTTATCCAGATTTATTGGAGTATTTCTTCTTATGTTTCCCTTACTCCTTTTTTTCTTTTTTTCTTTTTTTTTTTTTACCATTAGTTAGATCTAAATTTTTAAGTCTTTATTGAATCCATCTCTCCAATCTCAATATATAGTAAAATATAAAATTATGAGAGCTGAGTCTACTGGGCTTTCTTAAGTTTCTGGGAGCTTTACAAAAGGAAGAGGATTGCTATACTTGTAAAATTATATATTTTGTTATACATTGATAGTTTTGTTATTCGTACCATTAAGATTGACGGTTTTTATTATTTGTATCATTAAATTTAACGATTTTCATTATACACTAATGATTTCCATTACTATGTAACTGTGCAAAAATGTATGTATAATTGTCCTTTATAAAGAAGTTTATTCATTTGGATTAAGGTTGTAAATGAGTCAGGTCGAACAGAGTATTGAAATACTCAAATTCCATTTTAACTCCACAATCAAGGTTTTTAAAATCGAATCGAACCGACTGGTTGAATCAGTTGAACCAATATCTGGTAATGAAAATGGTTTGGTTTATATAAAAAATCGTTTGATGTCAAAACTGGTCAAAACTAGTGGAACGATAGAATTGGAAAAACCATCAGTTCAATTTCTCATGCAATTTTTTTTCTATTTTTTCCAATTTCACCCTCATCATTCATTTCTTATACCGATTTTAACCCTTAATTTAAATAAAATTATAAAATTACAAAATTACTTACCCCTCTTATCAGATTCTCCCTTGTTGTTTGGATTTGTCGGTTCATTAGTTTAACTGGTTAAATCGATTAAACCAAAAACCAAACCTGAAAATGGTCAATAACCGATTCGGTTTTAAAAACCTTGTCCACAATAACAAGCTCAAACCGAGCTTAAATTTTGTCAAATTTAAAAAAAGTGGAACTCGAGCTTGCTCTCTCAAGTTGAACTTATAATTTAAAAAAATTAAATTAAATCAAATAATATAAATTTTTATTTCTTTTTAATATGAACAAGCTACCCACAAGCCTAATATACAGGTTCAAACTTGAATTTGATTATCTATCAGGTGTAAAATTAAGTTAAAAATCAATTCATTTAGCGAACAAGCTGAGCTCAACCCAAATTTAAATCCAGCACAGAGAAGGGAATTGGTATCAACCTCTAGGCTTTTTTTTT